CTGTAGACTGCGCCACAGCAGCCCTCGAGAAGTACAACATTGAGAAGGACATCGCTGCATACATCAAGAAGGAGTTCGACAAGAAGTACAACCCCACATGGCATTGTATTGTCGGTCGCAACTTTGGCAGCTACGTCACCCACGAGACCAAGCACTTCATCTACTTCTATGTGGGACAGGTGTCTGTTCTCCTCTTCAAGTCAGGATGAATCCTTGACCCTGATACCTCATTAAGGATGCAATGAATAAAGTTCCGTTTTCTTGTCTAGTTTTCTTTATCTGGGATATAATTTTTATGTTAACTGCTTGGAATATAAAAGGTTTAAGGAACAAACTGACCAATAGCGACTTTGTTAATTTTGTATCTCAACATGGCATTTTTGCTTTGTATGAAACATGGTCAACAGAAAAAGACTTTAGTTATGTATTTTCAGATTTGGTGATCTCTGTCTCTTTCAAGCATGTGGTAAAAACCCATGTTTTAAAACATGTTACTGCGGCGGTTAAAAGACAACATTTTACAGGTATGGCATTGTAATTTATCCGAAAATCCCCCAAATGGGTTAGTATGCTAAATTTAAAACATGTGAGTTCTCTTTGACTATTATCACTACAAATAAATGAAGAAGATTAGGAGATTGGATTGGGAAATTGGGATAAGAGATTGGGAGCAAGGTTGATTTGTGATATTGCACGTCGAACATGGGAGATTGGGAGATTGGATGGGGAACATGGGAGATCGAGATATTGCATGCAGAGCTTTGGAGATTGGATCGGGGAGCTTAAGATTGGGAGATTGCGTGTTGATTATAGAGGATTGTGAGACTTAAAATGGTGATTGTGGATGATTAACAGATTACATAACTCCTTCGTCAAGGCGGGGGGGGGAAGGCCCGAAGTGATGCAAGTCGTAGACGTTTTTTATTCCTCTGGTAAAACCCATGAGCACAGGGGTGGTGCTGATAAACCTAGAAACATAATCAGGGCGAACCGGGATTCCAACCCGCGATCACAGGTTTCTAAATCGTCTAGCACACAACACTGCACAACGAATTCCGGCGATTCCTAGACGACTGGACCAAGCCTTGGCTGCTGCTCTTGCGAGCGAACACATATTGTAAAGCTTTTTTTAATAGCAGAGACGTAATATAGAAACACTCGTAAAATATCACTACGCCTACGATCAGCACAATACCTGTTTCATAATATTTGCAATTGTAAACCAAATTTACTTAATAATCGGGTTTTATGGTGGGTTCTGTTAAGATGTGGGGTATATATATATATGCAAAGTTGGTTTTGAATAACTTTTATCAAATTTTCTAGGGTTGTAATTTAATCTGAACCCAATCTACCTTTACAATTCAGAAACGTTTTTCAACCCAAATAACGAGCGAACACATATTGTAAAGCTTTTTTCAATAGCAGAGACGTAATATAGAAACACTCGTAAAATATCACTACGCCTACGATCAGCACAATACCTGTTTCATAATATTTGCAATTGTAAACCAAATTTACTTAATAATCGGGCTTTATGGTGGGTTCTGTTAAGATGTGGGGATTGTTTCAGAGGCGTTGTCCCATCACCTACGGGTTTCTCGTGACCCGCCACTTACAATATGTGTGTGCGTGTGTGCAACTAATATATATATATATATATATATATATATATATATATATATATATATATACAAAAATGAGGTAAATGTTCACTCGGTGTACATGTAATATATAATAAAATAATAAAGTCCACGTTAGTCAATCATCTTCTTTATATCAGTTTCAATCATAGTACTTTCGCTGTCTCATGACAGCTCTTCAGTGTAACTGACAATGACATATAATATGACGTCATAAATTACAACTGTGACGTCATAATGTATTTACACACTCCAGCGACGACACCAAGTAATTTAACAATTGTAGGGAGACATTTGAATTAAAATATACAGTATTTGTAAAGTAACAGTGTAACATTTACGATTGAAATGAGAAATCTGTTAATACATTCTACACTGTTACTTTACAAATACTGTATATTTTAATTCAAATGTCTCCCTACAATTGTTAAATTACTTGGTGTCGTCGCTGGAGTGTGTAAATACATTATGACGTCACAGTTGTAATTTATGACGTCATCATAAGTATGACGTCATATTATGCCATTGTCAGTTACACTGAAGAGCTGTCATGAGACAGCGAAAGTACTATGATTGAAACTGATATAAAGAAGATGTGGACTTTATTATTTTATTATATATATATATGTATATATATATATATATATATATATATAAAATGAATATACAAAGTTGGTTTTGAATAACTTTTATCAAATTTTCTAGGGTTGTAATTTAATCTGAACCCAATCTACCTTTACAATTCAGAAACGTTTTTCAACCCAAATAATTTTTTTCACTGGATTCCGACTTTTTATGAATAAATTAATTTACCTTTATTAAGCTTTCACCTCCCCCAAAAAATAAAATATAAAACCCTCCCTCTCTACACCACAAATGCTCAAGAGACACCAGAATATTTAACTGACCTTATATCTTGTCTAAGGTGATATGTAAACACAGTTACAAAACTATGTTGACTATACTTCTAGTCACAATCCTTTCAATCCAAAAACGGTGTCTTTACTCAGTGACACTGGGGCACGAATCTGACCCCAAATGCCACCATTTGGAATATCATGGTTTCCAATTTTGTTTAATGGTGAAGGATCTTAAACATTTTCTAAACAATAAACAATATCAACAAACTGGTCCATGTCCGCTCCAGTGATGCCATTAACTGTAAGTGTTTTGAAATCTATTTAATACCTGTGTCAAATTTAAAAAAAAAATAATTGATATTGCTATTAAACAATATGGTTTAGTCATGTTGAGATATGGAATAAGTGACTGCCTACAGTGGAAGAAATGTTACAGGTCATATTGTTGAGGTAATAAAATAATCTTGTTCCAAATACAGTTTCAGATTGACCTCATACTTACCAGTGATCTGTATGGTTAGGGAAGGCAAACATTTTTCAAACATGGAGGTCATAATTCAATTCAATATCAATGACCTTATGTCTCCTACCACTATGAAACACAACTTTTTGTTAGTCTGACCCAGAGTCAGGTCCAGAAAGCTTAGCTAATAATAACCCAAATAACAAAATAATTTTATTGAAAATGATGTTTTGTAGATTCAAAATGTCATGGGCCCAGACTGATTTTGCATAACGCACAGAGGTGAAGGACGTTTGTATTTGTTCATTCTCTACTGGATAAAAACCCACAATTTATAGGTTCATAAAGGTCGCAATGTAAGTGTCTCAAATAAATAAGTATATTGAGTCCTTGTCATAACCCTGATGGAAACAAATAAATATTTAAGGTGACTCGAGTGTAGTGTAGTGTAGTGTAGTGTAGTGTAGTGTAGTGTAGTGTAGTGTAGTGTAGTGTAGTGTAGTGTAGTAATACCACACTCAACAGCGGTAGAAACTAAGTTTCAGTCCACTAGTCCTTATGATGATAACATATAGCAAAACCCTTTAAAATGGCAAATTTCTACTAATCCTTATGATACCTTAACTATTGGGCAGTTTGGCAAGGACTACAGGACCAATTTCTAACACTGACTCAGCAATATTCCTTCTCAATGTTGGTGACTTCTGAACAATTGGGTTTTGTCCAGACAATCAATGTCTGATATTGTGATCAAAGATCAACACCGCCATCAGTACAAGGTATACAATGAACCAAACAACCGAGTCTGACCACCCAGACCAGAAAGTTGCCTCTTACAAGCTTCTGGGGACAGGTTTTAACCAGAATCCCTACAGAGGGGTGGGTGTGACTTATATGGTTTGTGTTGGGAATCAGGTGACCATTCGCAATAATTATTTAGCTCCAACAGATCAATGATTGTTTTGAAAACTATCAGAAAAGAATCAGTTTGTCTTTAGCATATGAAATTTAATAACTTCTCATTTAATACTGTTTATTTCATGCTATTGACATGATTGATAATTAATTTGTGTATGTCATGTGCAAGGGTTACAAACAGTACTGATTCTGATCAAATTAAACTTACAAAAGATTTTGCTTGGCTTTCCCTGTTAGATGGAGACAGAAACAGTGACTGAATGAAATCTGACAGTACTAAGCAGTCTCATTAAAATCAGATCTTTTATTATACCTCATCCGAACTTGGATCGACCAATGTAAATGAAAGAATGATGGCTGCATGGGCTTTTATTTCTTTACCACCTTGATTTTGAAGTTTTGAGGTTAGCAAATAAAAAAAAAACCACACACAACTTACATTCCATCAACAGTACAACCTTTCAAGTATCGGGTATAGATGTCAGAGCGTTAAGAAACGACACGACGTAAAAAATATCCACAGCAGTACAATGGCCTGACTATATTTTGCATTCAGATTCTTCAATTATATTTCTTTTCAAGATGCAGAAATCGGTGCTTGTCTGAATGTTTTGCTCACTCATGTCAAGAATGTAGAAGACTCAATGGTGGATTAGAAGGTTGACACCTTTGGTAGTCTTAGATAAACAGCTAGTCTCTGAAATGAACATATTTTACTGATACCAACAGTTGCTAAAATACAGATATAAAATATAATAAAAAGGAGTCCAGAGACTCTTCAGTTCCTGATACTGCAGTAATCTAGACTTACTAAATATTAGACTTGCATGGGCTGTATTGGATATACATGTACATGTGTTTATTTCAAGTATGTATGACAGATTACTATGGAGGTGTCCTCAGATTTTCACAGAGGAACTTATTGGAGGAAAAGATCTGATAATGATGAGATGAAGTCCAAGTTTTGTGTTTTATCTTCAGAAAATATGTAGCAGATTGTAACATACTAAATTACTGTGTCCCATGGAATTCGCATCCATTCTCGTAAGACTTTATCATGTCCAGTCAACTATCAGTACAGCTTAAAACGTGAAAAACAACAAATAACAGGCAAAATGAACTCTACAAACAAAATATAATTTATTTAAGAATATAAAACAATGCTGAAATAAATGTTATAATGAACATTGACAGATCCATGTTGGATGGCGTTGCTTTACCCGCATGTGCAGCAAACCAGTAAAATTTCACTAAATGCTTTGACAATTCTTTGGCATTGCTGAAATCTGTAGACTAAGAGGTTTGATTAGATTTCAGGCAACTAGTTGCTACACATCGACACAACACTAAATGTTTCACCATGTTTGCGATGCTGACATGCACACAAACAGCTGCATCAGTTCTAGAGATCATGCAACTGTTGTGCCTAAGTACACTATAACAGTATTTCCAATAGTTCCTGATTCAATACGGTCCCTTTGATCCAGCGCTGAGCTTTTGGTTTTCCTCCAATATAGAATCGTCGATTTACTTTGCGAGTTAAGCACATGCCCAAAATACAGGAGCAATGCAAACAAGTAGAACCTCCATAGGCTGTGAAGGAAGGTTCATCCTGATTTGAAGAGGAGAACAGCCACCTGTCCCAGATAGAAGTAGATGAAGTGCTTGGTCTCGTGGGTGACGTAGCTGCCAAAGTTGCGACCGACAATACAATGCCATGTGGGGTTGTACTTCTTGTCGAACTCCTTCTTGATGTATGCAGCGATGTCCTTCTCAATGTTGTACTTCTCGAGGGCTGCTGTGGCGCAGTCTACAGCATCCTGCTGCATGTCCTCGCTCATGTCAGCATTCTTGATGACAGCTTTCCTCTCCGACATGGTGCTATAATATAAGGAAAACCATTAAAACAGGAATTTTTCTGTCAATCTTGAAGTTCAAACTGCAAAGGTTTAACTGTCTGTGTAGTTTGATTTGGCTCTTTATAGTCACTTGCACTTGTGACTTTTTTCAGTTTTCAAAAACATGGAGAGATAAAAATGGAATGTCATGTACCTTGTGACTAATTGAACATTAAATGAAATTTCTGAGTGTATAGGTAAGGCTTGTTTGGTCTATCCCCAGACTGTTCTGGTTGTCGTATATAGAATTCTACTGTAAATTAATTACCATTGTGCAATTTCTGATAACAAATCTGCCTGTAAGTGACTCAATTGGTGTGCAAGAAAGAAAAATCAACCAAGAAAAGAGTTTCGGTAAAAGGATAGTAAATATTTTACAAAATCGCAATAGGTATACCCTCACACTGCAAACACTCGAAATTCTAACATAAATAGATGACGCACCGATATGGTGCCAGGCAATCACGTGGTGGCAGATTCACGTCGGCTTATGTACAGTATGCCTAGGCCTAGTTCGGATAAACGTTGCATTTTTGCCAATATATCTGCTACCTCTGGCCTTTTCATAAATTATACTAATCATCAATTTTTAATTCGGTATATCAATGAACACACAGAATATATCATAGAATAAATCGGTTATAGGGATGAGGTCTGAAAGTATCTTTACAATATACCATTAGCACATGTGCGAACGGTTAAATGCGTGGGATCAAACGATATTTTTCTCGTATAAGCCTATCCACATGCTCATAAACGTTTAACATGGTCTATGATAATGAAATATACATCTAAAATCGATTAAATAAACATCAAAGAAATTTCATGGTATTCGATTTACTATGACTGCATAATACGTACCTTTTTTATTTGTGACCTGCGTTGAAAATGTAATACAAATAGCAGTTGGCTCCACGCTGTTATGAATCAAAGATGTCACACAAACCTTAGCAACTCTTCTCTCGCTATATATTTCCCCCGACGCTAAGTCCGTGAATGTGATTGGTTGACTTGCGATCGCTGATTGGCTATAGCAGGAACACCGCTAGGAGTTTTGAACATCCCATAATCCCCAGTTGTCTTGTAGCAACCGTATCCGTGGACACTGTTTTCGCGGGTCTAAGAACAAGTCCTTTTCGCAGCCATTTCGAGCTGGAGCACGCCCTGTTTGCAAACAAACGTAGCAACAAGCTTGACTTGTGTGTCATTTGTATTTATGATCACTTTTTAATGGAACTAGTTGTAATGGAGATATCTGTATATTCACAGAAAGGAATGTTCATTCTTTATAATATTAAATATTAATTACATACGAATGCGGCAATTCGGTAGCCTACACGACTCAAAATGTTTGTGAGAAAAGAAACAACATTCTGTTTCACGACAAGCTGTAGATCTATAAATAGTATAACAACCAAATTCATTTACTATCTATTTTTGCACAACCCATCCCAATTGTATTTTTTTACAGTTCTTACTTTATAATAAAAGAATACGGGTATAACTATCATGGGCTGATACAGCTTTTTTGAAAAGGGGGGCGCACAATTAAGATCTATTTATTGCCTTTTGGTGGTAATTTATACAGAAATAAAGATTTTTTCGAAATAAAAAAGTGTGTGTGTGTGTGTGGGGTGTGTGTGTGTGTGTGTGTGTGTGTGTGTGTGTGTGTGTGCAGAAATAAAGATTTTTTCGAAATAAAAGGGGGGAGCACACACACACACACACACACACACACACCCTGTATCCGCCCATGACTATACCTCATCAGTAGCCTATCGATCTTTGCTCTCCCTCTGTATTCAAGTAATGTACAGTTCAAGCCGTTCAAGCATATATTGATAAACGACACCATATATGGGAGTGTTCCGTTGTGTCAACATTCCCCAAATCAGCCATATATATATATATGTCTGTCACGACTGTGTTGGTTGCCCCGTCATACCGTAATAGGCGACTATGCTTGTCGTAAGAGGCGACTAACGGGATCGGGTGTTCAGGCTCGCTGACTTGGTATCTGATAAATGTCATCGATCCCCAAAATGCGTGGATCGATGCCAATGATATCAATCACTGGCTTGTCTGGTCCAGACTCGATTATTTACAGACCGCCGTCATATAGCTGGAATATTGCTGAGTCAAATCAACTTTCACAACATTGTGACAGTCATGAAGCACGTGACCTCGGCCAGTACGTGCAAGGGGGGGTATCACTCGGACTCGGCTGTGAACAGACGCATATTGTTTTCTTGGAACCAAACACTCAAAGACACTTTATTTAACACATTTAATCATTGGTCATGCGATGTTTGCAACGTGCTGAACGCTTACGGGCCATGGGCATGTTGCAAGTGGGCACACGTCAGAATATTGTTGCGCAAACGCTGCATGTTCCTCAATCTGTCATCATCAGATTGTGGGACCGGTACGGAAAAAAACACATAACGTCGATGATCGACGCCGCTCTGGACGCCGAGGGGCAGCAAGTCCAGTCCAGGGCAGATTAGTCAAGATGATGGCACTAGGAAATCGGATAAGGGGCCGTGCAACAGGCAACAGATGTACCGGTTCTTGCCCAGACCGTGCGAAATCGTCTGCTCATATGGCCCTTGCGTGCACGACGTACACGTGTCATCCCACAATTTATTGTACGTCATTTGAATCAGGGACGTCAGTGGTGTAGGGAACGTCAGCACTGGGGCAATGGACGATGGTCTAATGTCATGTTTTCTTATGAATCGAAGTTCACTCTCGATTTGACCGCCTCCGTGGTCTTGTGGTAGAGCGTCCGCCCGGAGAGCGGAAGGTCAAGGGTTCGATCCCGGGCCGCGTCATACAAAAAGACGTTAAAAGATTGTACTTGTTGTTACCCTGTCTGGCGCTCGGCATTAAGGGGCTAAAACAAGGACTGGTCGGCTCGGAGTCAGTATACTGTGTCAGAGTGGGGTATTCATGTTAAACTGCGGCATGGTATCTCAGTGAGCTAGCACTATAAATCGGCATCAGTCCGGACTCGTACAAGCAGCCACACACACACATACACGTGCATGCACGTCGCTATATAAGTGCAATAATCTTGGACGCGACGTTAAATCAAATTTCACCTCACCTCACTCTCGATTTCCAGGAATGGAGTTTGGAGTCGCCCCAATGAGTGTTTCATGGACGATAACGTCGGGCAGCATATGAGATGAGGTGAGGTGAAATGGGGTTTAACGTCGCGTCCAAGATTATTGCACTTATATAGCGACGTGCATGTACGTATGTGTTTGTGTGGCTGCTTGTACTAGTCCGGACTGATGCCGATTTATTGTGCTAGTTCACTGAGATACCATGCCGTAGTTTAACATGAATAGGCCACTCAGACACAGTATACTGACTCCGAGCCGACCAGTCTTTGTTTTAGCCTCTTAATGCCGAGCGCCAGACAGGGTAACAACAAGTACCATCTTTTAAACTCTTTTGGTATGACGCGGCCGGGGATCGAACCCTGGACCTTCCGCTCTCCGGGCGGACGCTCTACCACTAGACCACGGAGGCGGTCGGGCAGCATATGATCGTTTTGGGGTTGGGTCACAATGACTGGCCGAGGTGTGCTCTACATTGTCCATGTCAGAGAGTTTTTTATAATCGGAAGAACATCACTGCACCGCACGTGGTGCGATTTGCACAGCATGTTGCCCATGGGCAACGTTTCATCTTTCAAGATGATAATGCACGTGCTCATCGTGCCAGGGTTGTGACCAAATTACTCCAACAGCAAGACATTTATGTCATGTCGTGGTCAGCAGCACTCAGTCCGGACCTTTCCCCCACTGAACTGTAGTCAACGTCAACATCCACCCACCACTCTCAATGAGCTCGGCGTTGCTCTCACTGATGAATGGAACGGTATGGGTCAAGCTGACATTGGTCAACTCATCGAAAGCATGCCTCGAAGAATTCGTGCATATCTGTCCAACGGAGGCGGTTTTATCCGATATTTGTGACGTTGGCTGCAAAATGCAAATTTCGACCTCTTAACACCATCTCATCACAACAACCATAAGAACCCATTAGATCTGATCGCCTACTCCCCAGCAGATATGATCCATTTGCCACTACCATATAAAATCAGAAAATATGGCTTGATGATTCCCACAACATAGCAGTAGAAATCAAATGCTGATTTCGCACCGGCGATCTCAAGCAGTCAGATAACCCACTAATTCCCAAAACATTTCCCTTTCTAAACACATTAACTATTTCAAATGTATTTGTCTAAAACTATGAACCGGAAAACTAGGACCAATTCAGTTTAGTCATGTCGCTGAATTTTAAAAAAGGCGACCTGTGAAGATCCAGGGTAGAATAGGTCTTCAGCAACCCATGCTTGTCGTAAAAGAGGCGACTAACGGAATCGGGTGGTCAGGCTCACTGACTTGGTTGATGCATGTCATCGTATCCCAATTGTGAGGATCGATGCTCATGATATTAATCACTGGATTGTCTGGTCCAGACTCGATTATTTACAGACTGCCGTAATATAGCTAGCATATTGCTGAATGCGGCGTTAAACAACAAACAACTTATCATTTTTTATGACTTTTCGTTGACATCATGCACAGTACCCTGGCCTAAGTAATAATTAGCATCTATACATGCGATACAAACCCATGTGGCTTAACCCCGACGACTTAACCAAAAATGGGGTCGTTGTGCTCCTACTATCGACCACTAGTCCGCATGGTCAAGACTCGTGAGCCCACTAAAATCAATCCTTCATACATTGTTGGGATTGACAGTCCATATCATATTTCCCTCTATTTCATTCTCATAAGCTTCTTTACTGTCGTTACCATGTGATACATTATTATGCTTTATCATTATCGTTGTTATGGTTCGCGATGGGATAAAAACAATAGGTGTCGCCGAATCTATTCCGCCGTCGCTCCCAAGAGTTCGTGAACTTAGTTCTTCCTTACACTAGAACCTGTTCTCATTCGCCTTGTGACTGCAGCGCACACGAACGCACGTCTGTCTTGGGCTCACGCGATCCCACAATCCTGTGCGAAAACGACGCGTGGACGGCCATATTAGATCAAGGATAGGGCGATAGGTGCTGAACTTAAAACGTTGATAGTTAATCATGGCATATAGGGGCGGTATTCCTAATGATAGCAGAATCTATGTTGGCAATCTGCCTCCAGATATCAGAACACGTGATATCGAAGATTTGTTTTATAAATATGGTAAAATCGTTTTCATCGACTTGAAAAACAGACGAGGTCCCCCTTTTGCGTTCGTCGAATTCGACGACCCCAGGTAGTTATTTGCTCGTAATTTAATTTTTCCCAAAATTGTTTGGCTTTTTGATATGATTGACATGTAAAGGGGTTCCTCAACGAAACCCTACCAAGCGCGGCACTCTTGATCTTGTGTATTCGTAACTACCTCATAAAGAACAATGCTATGTTTTTTATTCACACACCATTACTTTCACGCAGCAGTGTATGAGAAATGTTTGTTTGCTGATACATTTATCATGGTGACCTGACCAAGCTGTTTCCATTGTTGAGGCCATTCCACGTTGCTCTCTCTCGACCTGTTCTTACAACAACTCAGTCGTGATCAACCCAATGTTATTGGTGAATGTAACTTGTATCAAGTTATTTGAACCTTAATTGTCTCGATACATGTTACAATGCACTCAACATGCTGAAGGATTCTGATTCTGATATACATTCTGTAACGTGTGTTAATGCTCAGTTGTTAGGTAATGGTATTTATTTTAGCTAATCGTCTGTGGGACTGGTCATATTGGTTACAGGAAAATGTATTTGCAAACCCTGTGTTCAAATATGGAGCGCTTTTCAATTTCAGGCATAGACAATCAGGTGTACACTAATAAAGGCATTTAGTTTTTGGCTAGTTTATGTTCCTATGTTATGATAACATCTCTAATCCCTGTTGCCAGAGATGCAGAAGATGCTGTTCAGCAAAGAGATGGGTATAACTATGATGGCTACACATT